CACCAATTGATTCACTAAGATTGCGGCGGGGAGATGTCGATTGTCTCAATTGTTCAAATGCTTCGATGGTGCTAGTTTAGTCTACTGATGATAGACGACGATTTTCTCTGGATAAAATAGAAATCGCATCAAAAGTAAGTTTGGGGCGCGCCAATCGAAAAGTTTATTGATCGCCCGATAGTTGAAATCGGGCCCATGCGATCAACCAGTTAACAATCGAAAACCATCAGGATAATGTTATCGAAGAGGGAGTTTGTTTATTGAGTCGATAGAAAATTTGGACTACTGCTCTTCTGATTGTTGAAATATATTCGGAAACGCCCATTGAGGTTGTTAGCACCCAACTAAACAATGAAATAACAGTTTACGTATAGCAGTTCAACAGGAAATATAGTTCATCTACACGGATCGCTGCAACTGTAGTAATATTTACCAGTCTCAATTACAACATACATTTTTATTACTTCGAAAACGTTAGCATTGCACCCCGGATAGCAGTGCTCCTTCGGATATTTTTGTACGTGTTTTAATTGGGAACGACGATAAATATAGCCTTTTTTTGGGAAATATTAACAGATACAATCAATCTGCACTGAATTCCAATTGAGAGCGATATGGTTATCAAATGTTTAAAAACAAGAATAATCTTAAACGGAAGTGCTATAATAAAAACTTCAAATAAAACGATACGAAGTGAAAGTGAATTTGACTCCAATGAACAGAAGTTTTTTCTAGTTACTCGCGAAAAAAGTTGATCATTTTGAGGAAAGTTATTTGAAATGTTTTCAATTAATACGAGTATACATATGTACTTCTAAATTTGTTTACATACATATCTTATGTCGCCATGATGACAGCACTCGAAAATGTAACAACAAAACCACGTTCCACAACGCCAATTACATTATGACGTAAGCTGACCACTTTAAGTAAGCCCATGTTAGTTATTCCTAATTTAACGCAGAAGTAACCGCGGCACACAGTTTTATTAAAGTAAAAAGCCTTTATACTGTATTCAGAAACAAAAAATTACTTTTATTGATATTTTGGAGACAATATTTACATTCCAACTCAGAAACCTTCTTCGTCTTTGCCTCCACCTTATCCCACTAGGTGGGGTCGGCACAGCCAATTTTTCTCTTCCATTCTCTTCTATCAGCCGTCATCTCAACACTCACTCCTCTCTCTCTCATATCGTCATTCACACACTCCATCCATGTCTTCTTCGGTCGACCTCTTCCCTCTCTACCTTGCACCACCATTTCCAAACATCTCCTAGACGCACACATGTCCTCTCTACGCATCACATGTTTCCACATTCCAACTCAGAGACAGTATCCGAAAATGTATCTGCCTATGGCGGTGGGGGAATGTGTCCTTAACGGTTATTTCGTGCGTAAACGAAACTCTTTTTTTTTTTATAAATTTTTGACACGTACACACGGCTTGAAATCAATGTGCCGAAGAACGATTTACAAATATTATGAATGTGCTACGATAATATTGGATTTGGACACGTCTGTACTTTATAGTAGTTGCAGCATTAAAGCGTTTATTTTCTTAAGCAAACATTTTATGTCTGGCATAAAATAGTTATGCGCAGGCAGATTTGCAACTGAGCTCCGTAGTCGCGTTATACATATATGCGTGCAAGGTCGCCTTCGGAAACCCCATATGGACACATTAGCAGAAGCAATCCTTTCATTCATTGAACAATCTCGCGAAATCCCAATTAATTAGACTACAAAGCGTAGTTAACGTGCACACGCATTAATTTGTTGCATAAAACTTTGATAAAAATCTCAATCTCAATAATTTTCTGAGAACGAATGTTTACTATCACAACAGCATAATAGACGTGATACTTTTTATTTGCAGTCATTGGACGTTAAGCCTTTTTATATTGCGTAGACAGTGTAATTAACCCGGCCAAACTGGTGTTAAATGGTTACCGCAGCCCGTAGAAATTACAACGTATATAATAATAGTTGTCCCACTCTTCAAACCTCACAAGACGCCGTACCACCATTTATAAGTTAGAGCTTACCACTAGATTAAAAGCTTGTCTTTAAGTTCGAGCTTACCACTAGATTAAAAGCTTGTTTTTTAATCAAATGACGCAGATTTGCGGCCACGGCTTCCTGTAACTTCCTTCCTTCTACAGTTTCCCTATCATCCGTTCATTGCATCTAGTTTCTTATGTAAATCACTAATTGCACCTCAGATACTAGTCGTAGGGCATTATGGCAACCAGCAGTACCATTTAAGTGATTAAGCAATAATATTTACAGGTTTTAAAGTTATAAAAGAGTCGTTTTTAACTAATTATAAGTTCTAACTTAGGTCTCAAGACGGGCAGCAGAATTCACATTGTCTATGGACTCGCAATAACCACCGACGAACTGTGAGTCGTAGATAAACTCTGCCCATAAATATAAAAAATGTTAATAACTTATATCGGAACACGGAACAAGAATGTATCCTGTTTAGTAATTAATATGTAATGAGTACTATTGGCACGTTACCATAGTTGTATTGAGATATTTTCGCACCTGTTCAATACGTGAAGCTATCTCTGTTTTTAATAAAGGAGCTCACGCAGCTTGCATACCGATAAGCATAACTTTTTGTAGATACTATGGAGCGAATATATTCTTACGTGGGTTTTGTTAACTCGCGGTTACTTCATTGCTTTATATTATTTTGATTTATCCATTACGTTCATACGGACGTTGTATACACACACAACGTCGTCAGTTCGAGATTATCAACATACCTTTTGTCTTTATCAAAACTATCGGGCAAGTAATAATCATGCCGGGATTTAACCGATTTACATAAACTGATTTTTTCATTGCTTCAAAGTAATATTATTAGTAATGCCTCCGCAATTTCTCTCCGGCTGCTACAGTGGATATGATGCATTTATTTTATTGGGTATGCGACATATTTTAGTGATGTCATGACTTCAACATTCAAGTTTCTTTTCGAAGCATTAGAAATGGTTATAGAGTCGATCCAATTTTTAACAGTACCTAAAATAATTTACCAACAATCTGGTGTAGCATAGACTGGTGGTAGGGTACACAGATATGTATCACTACTATGCATATTCCCACCGGAAAGCAGTCATGCGTAATACTTTGAAGGGTGGGACGGTCCTTATACTATACAATTGAGACTTAGATGTATTAATCGAGGTTCAAGGTGGGGGGCAGCATTGTAATGTTTGCGGTCAGATAGTCATTTAACACCCAGACGGGTCATGAACTTGTTCGCCCGTCTTTCCCTTAAATAAAAGTTATGGAACAATTCAAGTCGCGTCACTTTACTATTCTTGGCGCGAAAGTGTTAATTTCTCTACTATGTTAAAATTTACTAGACTTTATGCTGATCATAATATAAATTTCTTGTTTTTATATCGGTACTTGTTATTTCGTGAAGAAATAAATATTATATAATAAAACTTCAGTTTGTAAATCGCGACGTCCCACAATCACGATCGTGATGTAATCCACTACAAAAGCATTAGACATCCTTTCCCATGCAATAAAGACGAAAGTGCGATGAATTGAGACATCGCATCTTAGTTTTTTATGGTGCAATATTACAAGAATTCTTTTTTTAAATGTAATCTTGTATTTTGCGGTTAATGGAATGTGTTGTGAATATTTTTGTTGGGAATACGGGCCAAGAATATTTGAATAGATGGACAGAAGTACTCACAGCCGCAAAAACATATATCTTCTTAATAATCTAGAGACATTATGTAGGAGTATATTTAAGAAGTTACGTACATACACGACGATTCACCAATATAGTAAGAAATTAAGGAGCCTCGTTTATTCTACTTAAGCTCCATAAGTTAAGTGCAATAATTGCGGCTCGTTTTTACAACTAATACTATTTTTGACGTAGTTGAGGAACCAGGTGTAGGACGAGGGGGCGGGAACATATACACATGTCTCTTATATCATCGCCGGATAGATTTTGATTATATTTTGGCTAATACGATATTAAGAAATTATAAGAACCCGAAATGTAAAAAAATAAACATCATATTGCATATGTTATAATACAAACTTTAGGATTATAAATAATGTTTTCCATTATCCATCATAAATGAGCTTTGATGAAATAGCCTGTGTATAGTGTGATTATTAGTTATATGATAGTTTTTATTTATATAGTTCAAGCAATCGAATAAAATCTATTTATAAAACTTAACCAAATGGAAGGCCAGAATCGTAAGTTAAAAGGGCTTTTTGAGCAAAGAACATTGTTGTAGTAATTTTTCTCCTACTTACATACAAACATATTGCTGCACTATATTATCCACAATTTTAAACAGAATGAAAAATTGAAGCATAAACCTTTATCATTCTTTATAAAATGTAAGTCGATAGATAATTGCAGGGTGTGGTTGTTTTGTCATTGAGAAATCACACACATCAGTAATTAAACCATTTGTAAGGAATTTGAGCTAGTCTCTTTCTTAGGCTGTAGTGTCTATAGAACCACTTGGAGGAACTGGTATGGTACTGGTTTTCGTATCATCTTACCCATGTGCAAATTAGCAGTTTATGGACATTGCTTCAGTCACTTTAAATTGGTAGTTTGAAAATATTGACAAATTAATTTTATTAAATGATAAAACATGTAATACATGTTTTGCGTTGTATATTTAGAGAGTACTTTATGCAATAACAATTGTTTAGATGTGCTAAGTAGGTTTTACAAGCATTTTAACAATGATAAAAGTATTCATTTAAAAGTAAAATTATTTACGAGTTGACTGTTAAGCCTGTGACTATGAAAGTTATTCAAATAAATATTGAACTTCTTTAGCTTTATTTCTTTCATATTCTTTGACTTATAATAGTTCTGTCTGGTTATAATACAATTTTTATGATCTGGTGACTGATACATAATTATTTTTATCCTCATATAACCATACAAACATGGCATTACTGTAAAGCATCAATGAAATATGTACTTACCATTGCGTGATACATCCAATTCTACTAAATTTTCAAAATTCTGGATATCAGCTGGCAGTTTGTGTATCTCATTATCACTGAGACCAAGTCGCCTTAATCGATGTAATCTGAAGAAATTCTGTAACAAAAATTGAAAGATGTTATCATTTAATAAAGGATAAAGAATGCATAGCTTCATTTTTGTAAACTGTATGTGTGTACTGGTTGTGTATATATTTTTTTCCTGCACTGGTATTGAAGTTTTGCAAGTATCTTGGAAAGCGTTCCTTGGAAAATTGAGAGTAAGGGCAACTTGTGCTTACTTGGGCTTACTTGTGTGTATAAACATTATCCTTTATGATGTTATGGAGATAGTTATACAACATAGCTATACAACACAAAAATATTTTACAGTTGCCTTATTCTTGCTAATGTTAAGTTTTTTTTATTGCTTAGGTGGGTGGACAATCTCACGGGCCACCTGATGTTATGTGGTTACTGAAGTCCATAGACATATACAATGTAAATGTCGCCACTCACCTTGAGACATGAGTTCTAAGGTCTCACTTTCAATAGTACAGCGGATGCCCAGCCCTTCAAACCGAAACGCATTACTGCTTCACGGCAGAAATAGGCAGGATATTTACAAAATAACTTTATATATATACAGGTGCTGAATAAAACCATTACGACCATTGGCTACTGACCAATTGAGCCCTCTCAGTGGAACTTCTCCACTCTGTTAAATACTCCTAAAAGATATCCTTGTATTTGAGACATTTATCTGAGGCTTTGACTGTTAGCATAACTGCAAGCTTTTTAATAGTGGAAACACAGTACAGACTCATACTGTGTTTGCAGCTGGTGTTGAAGATGCTTTTTTTTATATTTAATTTTAGTGGTAGCTTCTCAACTTGATATTTGTAATTATCACAACAGTACACTACATAATAAGGGCTACTAATAATCAGCAAATAACTGATAGATTTTATGAAATTATTAATGAGTATCTATTCATCTTTAAAATAGAGTAACTTAAGCAGTCTGATAGTGAAACAGCCATTAATGTGATTTTAATGACATAACATACAAGTCTCTCTATGTAGTTTTAATGATTTAAATGATAATTAAGAATCCATTTAATAAACATTAATTTACAGTGAATATAATCTATATTATATCAATTAAAATAATTTTACCTAGAGGTAAACATTACTTCCAATTAAATTTTCGTGTATCTTAAGTCGATTGCCGCTTAATTATTAGCTTATTTAAACTTTATATTGAGAAACCTGTTTATTTTTCGATATTCCCCAGTCTTTAGGCTGTAGAATTTATATTATTCATACAGGTCGCATTCCGTTACTCCCCGAATAATTAAAATTCTAAATTTTGTTATGATTTCTATGAAAAACGTATGATCAGGAAAGACGTTGAAACATTTAGACGTTTTTTTACTAAAGCTGATAAAGGTAAACGCCCACGACGTCGTATAAAATTTAGGTTACTAATTGTTATTTACCTTAGGTAAATCTCTTATATGATTAGCATCCAGTAATAGTTCTTCCAAGCTCCTAGAATACCGCAAAATGTCTTCAGGTACTGTTGGCAACGAACAGTGCCGCTTGTCTACACTTTCCACTTGGCGATTACATTTGAACAAAGGTATACATCGAAACATGTTGAACACTACACTTCACATAAACTATAACAGAATAAAACACTACAACGATACATATTTGAGCACTTCAATAAAATAATGCTATTTTGGCTTAGTGAATACCATTGCGATACAATGTTTTTCTCTAAAACAGCAGCTCGCACCTCACTACACGAAACGATGCCACTAACTGTCAGTGTTGCTAGTTTTTAATATTTCAAACTACTACTTAGCGCTGCTTTAAATTTTTTAATAATTATTGTTAAATTAAAAAAAATACTAGTGTTAGAAAATACAGGTACCCCATGGATATTAGACATCAATCCCTGGATTTTTTGGCGGGAGTGTAAGGAATGAAGTTGAGTGATTTGTTTTATTTTATCTATTTAGTGTTTCTTCAGGTTTAAATAGGTAATAACGGTGGTTTAGTAACTGCTTAGTATCTGTAATAGTGCACAAATGTGGGAAAATAAAACAAAGCCGCTGGACGTAACTTCTCGGGATCCTCCAAAAGTCCACTGAAAAAGTCTCAGTAAATGACCACCATTTTACTGAGATTATATTTCATCCCATGTCATATCATTTCGTTTCATTTAATTTAATCTCAGTTGATTGTTGTCTCCAATTAATCATCTTCATTTCATTTCATTTCTTTTTATTTCATTTCATTTCACTCCATATTATTATTCATTCATTCATTCATTCATTAAGCTATTCAGAATCTCATTAAATTTATTTAACTGACATTAGAAACACTTTTTTAAAATTCCCTCATTTTTATTTTACCTTTTTTGTTTTTCCTGCGTAATCTAGTGACCTCAAGGGTTCATACTAAATTCATCGAGTTTTGTACCTATGGCTTGTGTTCTACTTAAAATTTAGAATATAAAGACTGATAGACAAGTATTGAAAGTCATATAACTCTTTTCTTAGGCCAATTAATACTAAATAAGAGCTGTGAGCAATCTGTAACCCAATACAATACAATATGAGGAACGTCACGTGTGGTCGCGATCCTCAGCAGTGAGGGAACGATATAGAAGAAGAAGTAACCAACCAGTGTATTATTTAAGTATGGAACCAAACAACACGCAACGCACAGAATTTAATGTACTGTTTATGGCTATAGATGTTGTAGGTACTTATTAACTCCATGGTTTTTATTTATTATAGACATAATTTATAATAAGTGTATTATCTATGGGGAGGACTTTTTGGCGGGAACGCGAGGTGTGAAGTTGTGCGATTTGTTTTATTTTGTCTATTTAGTGTTTCTTCAGGTTTAAATGTGTAATAACGGTTGTTTATTAACTGTTTAGTATCTGTGAAAGTGCACAAATGTGGGAAAATGAAACAAAGCCGTTGGACGTAACTTCTCGGGATCTTCCAAAAAGTTCACTGTAAAATCTCAGTAAACAACCACCATTTTACTGAGATTATATTTCATCCCATATCATCTCATCTCATTTTATTTCATTTTATCCCAGTTGATTAATATCTCAAATTAATCATCTTCATTTCATTTCACTCCATATTATCATTTTTCATAAAAATATCTCATATCATAACGTCTCATCTCATTTCAATTCATTTCATTTCATTTCTTTTCGTTTCATGTCATGCCATTCAGCTTCATTTCGTTTCATAAAAAAATATATCTAAAAGATTAGGATGTATGGTGTGATATCTTTGCCTTTCCATTTGAAAAATAAAACTACCACTATCTATGGGTAGTAGGCATAGACAATACACATATGCATAGATTATACACATAATTTAATTGAGAGGAACTTATGAAGGAGCGGTTGTAAGGCAATATTTTGCGTTTAAATAAATTAATTTAAATTGCATACGTTATTTAAAATACGTAGCAATTTTCAATTTTCACTTTGTGCCACTAATAATATGAGTAATAATTTTAAGATCGGTTTTGTTGGAGGAGGGAATATGTCAACAGCAATTGTTCAAGGAATTTTAAAAAATGGTAACTATAAACATACATCATAATAAATCTGCAATAAATTAGGCTGAACAAATAATTAATTCGGCGGTCCCCTTAATAAAAATGTTCGCAGTTCGCACGCTTTCTGTCTTCAAAATACTTCAAGGTCTCGCCTATGCAAATTGCCATAAGGCCGATGTTATAACCGATATTAATTATACCGATGTTTAATTTAAATTTAATATTTTTTATTTATTCTTTATTTGAAACTTAATACACGTACAAGTCGATTTCAAGTCTTATAGAGATGGTTAATATCATTTACGTTGTAATATCTGAATTTTCATTTTTTTTCAAAACTTAATACTTGGTTTTAGAAAATACGTAAAAAAAAATTAAAGAAAATTAAATTTATTACTAATGTTCCTGTGTAATGCATTCTCTAACTATTTTTAAAACACAACAACAATATTAGTATTGACAAAAAAATATCATCTTGTGTTATTTGTTTCTAGATGCTTATCCAGCTTCAAATATTTGGGTTTCTGGGCCACACTTGGAAAACCTACAGAAATGGTCACTTTTAAACACAAATGTTAGCATAAAAAACTCTGATGTTTTTAACAACTGTGAAATAATATTTCTAGGCATAAAGCCAAATAAATTAGAAACAGCTGTGCAACAATGTCTAAATGGCATAGAATCTCTTAGTAAGAAAAAATCAATATTGTTTGTGTCTATGTTGGCTGGAAGGAAAATAAATGATTTGCAGGAGGTAAATGAGCTTTATTTATATAATCAGTTAAAAAGAACAGATATGCTCATGACCCATTAGGTATTATGTAGTTACTAAAGTATACAGATATCACAACATGAACACTAGTGATAATTTCTTAAGACAGGACTGAAGTCTCCAATAATAACAAAAAAAAAACAATGAAATCAGAGCTTCACTAATACAAAATGATTTATTAATGATTATTATTGTAAAATATTAATTATTTACAATTGAAATCGCTATGTAAACTGTTATATTTCTTCAATTTCATATATCAAATTAAACACCCACAATAATTAATGTATTTCATACTTGAATAGCATTGTATAATTTTTTGATTTGTATTAAGTGTTGTTATTTTTGCCCGAACTTATATTACACGTAATGGGAATATTGTGTCAATGAAACATCCATGGTTGAGATATATTAGATAGATTGACAAGACATGGTTAGGTGATTTTGATAATGACTTATGCACAGTTATTTTATTAGCCTAGATGGGGAAATAATACATACCTGGCTATGGGTTAGAACATACCCTTTAGACACCAATAAAAGATTATTGTTTTTAGTTTTGACTGCTGCTTGTCTTGCAACATTTGTTTGAAGTTATAATTGTCTTAGAAACAGCTGTGTGGCTTCAATCTAGGACATATGATTGCTTCACAGCAAAAATACTGAAACTTATTTAATGTTTTGTTCTGATTATAAGTTGCTATTACTGTTTTTTTTTTCAGGTGTTAAGTGTACTATCTCCTTATGCTGATATAAGAATAATAAGGATAATGCCAAATACACCTATGGCTGTAGGGGCTGGTATATGTCTTTACACACCGGATAACAATGTTTCACAAGATCAATGTAAATTTTTGGAAGATCTATTGAGTAGCACTGCACTATGTGAAAGAGTTGAAGAACCAACAATGGACACACTTGGAGTTTTGACTGCTTGTGGACCTGCTTTTGTGAGTTGGCAATTTCTTATAAATGAAACTACTGAATTTTACCTTAAGTATGATTTTATTGTAGACAAAGAAGTTGTGAATAAAAATGTAAAAATTTAATAAAAATGTGAACATGTAAACAAATGGTCGTAAAAATGTAAACAGAGCATATTACAAATTTTTGGCTAAGAAAAAAAAAACAAGTGTAATCATAATTGTGTTTGAAGCCTCTGAATAAAAAAAAAACCGCAATTTTTAAATAAGAATACTCAAATGTTTCAGATTTATATTGTGATAGAAGCCTTAGCCGATGGTGCTGTGAAGCAAGGTGTTCCTCGAGCAATGGCATTGCGTCACGCAGCACAGGTGGTAGTGGGTAGCGGTCAGATGGTCTTGCAAACCGGTAAACATCCTGGTCTATTGAAAGATGAAGTTTGTTCTCCTGCTGGTTCCACTATATGTGGTGTGACTGAGTTAGAAAATGGAAGATTGAGGTGAGTTTTTAGTCTGTCAGTACATACCAGATAAGATAGAGATAGGAGAGATAAGAAAACAACAAGTGATTATTTTGAACAAGAAATCCTTTACTTGTATCCCCAATTTATTGTTCTTGAATGTTAACTGTATTTTGATGTGCAATAAAGTATATTCTCCCTACTGGAGTAAATGTGTACCTAAATCAATTTCAATAATAATATGGCACATTACACGGAACCTAAGAAAAATACAATTTGAAATGTGAATTTAATTTTATGTGGGAAGATAATCTCAAATGTTAGGTTTTTTCCACCAATCTACTACAATGAAATAAATTTGGAAGCTAACATTAATCAAATAAAAACGTGATACAAAAACATTAGTAAAAAATAAATAATCCTACCTACACATTGTTTCTTACCATCCTGTTTTTGGCTAACTTCTAGTGAGATTAATCAACTTAATAGTGATGTTTAGTTTGTAAGTTATAAAATTTATTAATCTTACTTAAATTTATAATAAAAATTCTAGGTCTACATTCATAAATGCAATTGAAGCTGCAACAAATAGGACGAAAGATCTTGGAAAACGTTAATACTCATGAGAAAAAATATATCAGAATCTCTTTTACAATAGAAAAATGTTATACCCTATGCCCTATTATATAACGTTCAGCTATTAGCACCCTGACGAGAACATAATTATTCAGACAATGAAGGTAAAGAGGAGCATAACAAATTACATCATACATATTTAACACTATAATGGACAAATCATAAGTATGAATAAGAAATTAAAGTAACAGGAAAGTATTATATTCAGTACTAAAATGTCAATGTAAGTGTTTTGAATTATGATTTGACGCCCACGATTCGAACCTCATAATATTATTATGAGTGTAAATTAGTGTACAGTTTACCTTAATGAGAAAGAATACTGTGAAATATCTGCATATTACGTATTACGTAATTACTTAAAAAAATAAAACGCTTTTATTTAATTCCTTTAAAGATAAACTAAGATACTCAGTTTTTTTACTT